TGGAAGCTTAGAGCTGATGGGATCAGAAAGACAAAGTTCCCTAGAATTAACAATCCCTCACACACAAAAAATCCAATACAGGACATAGTTATCAGCCACACTCTCAGGGAAGCAGGATATGACCTTTGGGACATAATAGGATTAACCCACCACTACCAGAATACCAGAAAAGCACACTCAGACTCAGGTCAAAGTTCCTGCCACAGGAACAACTCCAAACAAAAGTTCAAGAAGGTATAAAAACCTGCCACTCCCTGCTACATGTGGTCAGCTTTCCCAGAGCCATCTTTCTGTCTGGCTCTCCTCTTCAATAAACTACAACCTTCTTTCTAAAGCAGTCTCCATTTTGATTATTCCCAGCCTGGACTGGACCCTGATGAAGATTTTTCTTTCAACACATGTATTCAGTTTGCTATTCAACTCATGATGTGCTGAATTGATTCTTCAGTCACCTCATCAGTACTGAACAGCACTAAGGCCAGTAATGCCATGTGAAATCTCTTCAACTGTGTGCTTGTCAGCAACATGAGAGCCCACTCAAACCTTCTTGATTGGTAGGAAGTTCCAAATACAACAACTGTTTCTTTGTGAGAAGAGAGGCTTAAAGTTCAGAAGGAGTGGAGATATAGTCTTTTTATTTGAAGATACACATGTGTAACTGATAGAATCTACTAGGCAAGCATGATTAATTGCATGCCCTTGTAACTTCCTAAATCTCAGCAATGAGCTTTTCAAATTCATTCTGTATCTTGTCTGCAGTTTTTTCAATATGGGTATTGAGTCATTCCCACCCACCCCCCAGGCCAATTATCTAAGGCTAATGTGTGGATGGATACTTTGAAAGGTAACACTCATTTAACCAGAGGGAAATCATATTGAAATATATAGTTTGGTCAAAATTCACATTGTGAAATGATGCACATATCAGTATTTATTATGTTAAAAATATTTAAAAGAATAGGATAATGAGACAATGCAACAGAAGTGAAAATATATGAAAATAACACCTTACATAAAAAGTCCAATTAAAACATTTTGATCTTCTTTCCTTAGCAATCTGCCTTATAGTATCAATATATCCCCTTAAGCATCTCTGCTTTTATTATTATGGATGCAACCTCTCAGTAATAGGTGGCCTGTAAACCCACAAAAAGGGACAGGATCAGGAGGAAGCCTAAATTTGGTTGTGTTTGACTTAAACTAGAGGCAACTATTAGGATTTTTTTATATGTATTTAATATTTTCATCATCCTATTTTTGTTGCTTTATGAACTGAACTGAATACTGTTTATGTTTGAAAACTCAATACTGCAGCTTTTAAAAAAATATATTTAAATTATTTCATGTTCTTAGTGTATTGCTCGCTAGTAATACTTCTGAGAAAAGGAAGAAAACAAAGAGAATACAGAATTAGCACGATAAATGTGTAAATCCATTGCAGACAATGTTTTTTTAAAATTGACATTAAAGGGAGGGAACTTATTTTTTAATCAAGTTGAATTGAGAAACAGGTACCCTGATAATTCTTTGACACAAAGATTTGTTTGTAATGACACGAGACAACAAATTTAGCCTTCCCACAAGAGAAATAGAAATGAATAAAAGCTTAATCCCAAATGATTTTTTTTTTCTTTTTGCAAAGATGAGACTTGAAAACAAACCAAGACAATGAAATCCTATTACCAGCTTATACCATTGGGATTAGGGTAGGTCTGTGCCCAATGTGAAGATGCATTTTATTCAAATAGGGATATTAATATATAATATGTCTTGTATACATTCTTTATTCAACGATGTTCAGAAAACTGTTATCTGGAATCTTTGGATTTGATTTTTGTATGGTATAAATTGCCAGAACTCCCTATCCATGAATGTAGTAAGTCAAAAGAACACTGATTCTCTTTTTGAACAGAACAGAGAGAAAGTGGATGCTACAAAACTCCAAGCAAATTAGGAAACTGTATTCCCACAATACTGCAGAAAAAAGCAGAACAACTTTACATGCTTACTGCTGGCTCAAACAGTGTTCTCTAAATCTGGGGAAAGGAAGCAAGTTATGTTTACATTAAGAAAGCAAAATAGAGCTTTGTATGATTTAATGCACTCTTCTGTTTTGAGATGCTTATTTTTTCACTTCAGGATTTTGCAGTATCTTTGAATTACAATTTTCTTACTGTAAGAATAATTAAGCAAAAATGGCTGACTATGGTATATGCCCTAAGTCTCTGTTTCTGAATATAATCTCTATATGTCTATACCGGTGGTTCTAAACCTGTGGGTCGGGATCCCATTTGGGGTCAAACAACCATTTCACGGGGGTCGCCAAACAACGCAGTCCGCCATTTTTTTTCCACTTTTCCTTGGCTGTGCTACTCCCTTTTATTCTATTGGCTTTTGAAAGCCAATAGAATAGACTCTCTTGAATAGAGTCTAATTCTATTGGCTTTCAAAAGCCAATAGGAATTGTGCAGGCTGTCTCTGCCCTGCTGAGCCCGCCAAAAGTCCCATTCTGCAAACGGTGCTGCAAGTTGTCTGCAGCGAAGGCAAGCTGTTTGGAAGTTTCCACCCCTCCCTGCTGAGGAACTACTAAAAATGTAAGTAAAAGAGAGCCAGGGGTGGGAGGTGGGAGGCCAGCGGGCGCAGGGAGGGTTGCTGGCACGTGTGGGGCCCGGCAGGTGCCTTACCTCCCTTGGGCTGGGCCAGCTGGTGGCCCAGCTGGTGGTCGGCCTGCGCCGTCTCTGCCACTTGCCAGCTACACCTCGGCCGGCGCAGGGGGCAGCACCACGCATGCGCGGCACTCCCAGGTAGGGAAAATCCTCAACTTACGACCAGTTGGGTAGTCCTCGACTTATGACCAGTTGGGTAGTCCTCGACTTATGACTGGTTGGGGTCGCAGCATTAAAAAGGTTGAGAACCACTGGTCTATATAATTCTTCCAGTTGTTCAGTTGTAAAAACTATCATCTGTTGTACCTGTTTATGTCAGGATTGGTAACTAGATAAAATCTAATTACCAGTCCTGATATAACAGGTACAACAGATGAATCAGTCTGTCTAATGGTGAAGGCACCAGCCTAGAAATTGGGAGACTGTGAGTTCTAATCCTGCCTTAGACGCAAAGCCAGCTGGGTGACTTTGGGCCAGTTACTTCTAGCTAAGGAAGAAGGCAACGGCAAAAAAATTCTAAAAATCTTGCCAAGAAAACTTTAGGGACTAGTCAGGCAGTTGACATAGACTGAAAGCAGGAAAAAAGAAAGCAGAAAGAGGAGAGGAGAGGAGGAGATAGGAGAGGAGAGGAGAGGAGAGGAGAGGAAAGGAGAGGAAAGGAAAGGAAAGGAAAGGAAAGGAAAGGAAAGGAAAGGAAAGGAAAGGAAAGGAAAGGAAAGGAAAGGAAAGGAAAGGAAAAAGAAAAAAGACTAGACAAGCTGGAGGTTCCACTTAATTGTTAGAAAGCATTTTAGTAACCCTTAAGAAGGGGAAATTGACTTCTCAGAATTGAGATTATTATTGGCACCTAGCTAGTGTATCTCAAACAGTGCCATGGCAAATCTGTAGTGCTAAAGACAAAAATATAAGCATGTTATCTCTTTTGTAACATCCTAGGAGGAATGTGCATAGTGTAATTGGCTGAATGCTCAGATTCTCAGTAGGCTACTGTTTAGAGCTCCCTAAAGGGGAACAAAACAGTGAAGTATGAGTATTTTAAAGGGTTATTATTACTGCATGTCAAAATGCAGCAGAAGCATTCCTATTGTTAAACTTGAAACTATTTCAGCCGCTTCAGAAAAATTCTAGGAAAACCGAAGCTTGGAAGCCCACATTTCTACTATTATCCAACATATTTGTTTTCTTATGGGATCAAGAATCCTCAGATTTTTTAAAATTAATACTGCCAAACAATGACTGCCAAAACTTGGAGTCCCATTATTTGCATTGTATAAAGAACTTTATAGTAATTTTAAAGGAAGACACAAAGAACAAAAGCAAATTTCCTTCCCTTTTTACTGTAGTACAAAATGCATGACTATAACAATAGTAACACACATACACAGAGAGAGAGAGAGAAAAAAAAAGTGCTGGTTTAGCTCAGAAAGAAGAAACACTAATATAGATTCTTAAAGTAATATAGTAAGCAAACATTCAATATTTTTAACATACAAAGAGACCTATATAATCAATTTTGTGGAAATAAGTCAATATGAAATGTATTAATAAAATAATAAAAGATCCTGTCAGCATAAGTCACTTGACTAAAGACCACTAAATGACTGCCAGCATAGATTCACAACTCATTATATAATGCTAAACTATTACATTAGACTAAATGGATGAGTTGGAATGAGTATGACTATGCTTTGGACTCCCTAAGTTAAGAGTAAGAAAAAGTGAAACTAAGGCATGTCAAACTCGCGATGTCACATGATGTTGCGTGACATATCATGACTTTTTCCCAATTGCTGGCAATGGAGTGGGCGCTGTTTCTGCATGACGCATCTGGCCGCAGGCCAGCAGTTTGACATGCCTGCACTGGAAGAAGAAATGCTGGAAGAAGAAAAGCTGTTACATTAATTAATGTATGTTGAAAGGCTGTTACATTAATTAAGAGATACTAAAAGAGTAGTTCAAAAAGTATACCTATATTTTTCTACTATAATATGATTTGTGTTGGATAATCCATGAGTTATGGAACATGTTTTATTCCTTCAGTCCATAGTTTCAACAGAGAAACTAACAGCACTATTCTTTCTTCCTGCAACTTTAGTGGCCATCAAGAGTTCATTTGCTTTGTTTTCTTTTGACAAAATTGAATATAATGTAATTTTGATGAAGTCACATACTGTAGACCTCTCTCACATCATTCCTTCAAAAATCAGATGGACACTCAGATTTTTAACTTCTTATGGAAAATTCTGTAAAGTTTGATTTGCATTATGAAAATAATAGAACTGCACAATTTTCAGACATGTTATTAATTTTAAACACAACAGGTGGCAGTCAATATTTTTGGAATAATGGCAATAATGAAGTTTTATTATTGGAAATGGAACACAAAACAGTAGCATTAACATTTGTCAAATTAATAACTATTAAGATAATATCTATCAAAAGAATTTTAACTAAGTTACAATTCTATGCATGTTAAACAACCCAAATTCAAAACATTTATTTTAGTTATTTTGCCTTTATATTTTATGTGCACTTAAACTCAAAACTACTAGCTATTGAAGAAAGTTGATGATCATTAGAATAGAGTGAGAAATATGGCCCATCGGAATGTCTGAATGATTATACAGATCTTGAACCGTCATAAAATGTAGAAAAAACCATGTGAACACTTAAGCCAGTTTTAAAATGAAGTAATATAAAACAATGTTAAAAAGTGTATATTGGAAAAAACAAACTCACAAAATATATTCTATTAAAAATGCCTCCAAAATTATGTGGGAAAGGAAAACTGCACTAGAAAACATAAGCATGAATACAAGTCTCTAGATTTCTTTGAAGTTTCTGCTGATTATAAACATTTGCAACTTAATTCAAAAGAGAAATTTAGCAAAAAAAAAAAAAAAAAACACCTATACATCCAAAATACTATCAGGGGATAAGAAATGGTCTAACTTTTGAGTTTGCTATTTTCCATCTGTAGCATCCTAAACAAGAAGATAGGATGATGCAGACCAATGTTACCTTAGTAATACACTCTCAAGAAAATATGATGTGATACTAATGTTGCAAATTTATTTTGTCAGTAGAGTATTCAAGACTCAAGTGTAAGAATGACAAGATAATTGTATCATACAAGATGCATGGCTGAAAGTGTATTCAAAAATAAAGGAAACATTTGCTATAAGCAAGCTAGAACAATTGACATCTTATTATATCAGGTTTTTTTAAGAATGAATGAAATAAGAAGAAAACACACTAGGACATAATATTTGTTGAAATAGAGCAAGGGTATTTGTTTTAGCAATTAATCCTACTTCATATTCACCCTAAATTAATTCTAATGTTATATATTATTTTTAGAAATTAAAATAAAATATTTTTCTTAACTTGGATTGAATTTTGAACGATTTAGGAAAAACATCCAAGTAGTTTATCAAAGTATGTCCAAAACTGTAAAGCTGTGTTTTTCAAGCTTGGGAACTTTAAAATATGTGGACTTTAACACCTAGAATTCCTTAGCCAACATGGGAATTTGTGAGTTGAAGTCCATGAATCTTAAAGTTCCCAAAACTTTAAAACTTTGAAAAACACTGTTATAAAGTCTCAAAGCATGAACCTGTAATAGATTCAATATTGTACACTGCAATGATGCTCCGGTTTTTTACTATATAGTTACACCTATTTAAAATATAGTAAATTGTCAATGGAGTGTTTTCAACTCTCTTTGAAAAGAAAGCAATTATTTTCAGGGGGATATAATCAATTCATTTCAAGCTTACCACAATATTTACAGTCATAAAGCAAACATTAATAAACAACTAGAGAAGAGATTTCCAGCATCATAAAGACAAACTCAAGAATAATTCAAAGAGAGATGAGCAGTACCATTAGCACTTTGCTCTTAGTTTGGACTAAAGCTAAAGTTTTAACAAATTGAGTGTGGAGCCATATAATAACAGGCAATTTCTATACATAGTCATATTTTGAAGGGTAGGAACGTCTTCCTTCATCACTTTTGACAGTATTATTATCCATTACAGGAGTCTTCTTGGTTTCATAAGCAGTTCCAGATTTATACCCAGCAGACTTGTAGGAGACTGCCTTGTAACTGAAAGAGAAGTAAATCAAGGTGTCATTTAGTGGAAGTGGAAGCCTATCCTGGAGTTATCTGTCTGAATAACCATTTGTCTGAAATGGTATAGGGTTTCCTGCCTGAACAGGGGGTTGGACTAGAAGACCTACAAGATCCCTTCCAACATTATTATTATTATTATTATTATTATTATTATTATTATTATTATTATTATTATTAACAATAACAACAACAACAACATCTGCACTGTTCTTTTCAGTACAGTTCTCTACATTTCATAAATATCCAGGGTCTACATAACAAATATAATATTAATGGCCCTCTGTCAGCTTCCCACGGTAAACCATACAGCCAGATGATCTAATTTTACTTTATTCCAAATTTTTTTGACAGAATCTTGCAAATCTGAAAGTACATTTCTCTCTGCCTGTCTCCTTTATAGCAAGGAAACTAGGTAGAGTCTTTTCTGAGTTACAAGTTAATCTGTCTTTTATCTGCCTTTCTTTGGCAACATCTCTTTGTCCAGTCTCCCAAGGTCTTTCTTACTTACCAGTATTCTCTCTCAGTCACAATAAATTAAAACTATGTAGGCTTTATATACCTATTTAGAACTAGGCAATCAATTATCTCCACCCAACTGAGAGACTCCACACTAATGTCACAATTTGTCCCATCCTTGTTCACAGGCTTGGGCAACAATGCCAATGCCAAGTAGCTACTCACTACTTTAATTTTCTAACATTGCCCCATTTGCCCAACATAACATTGCTCCAAGCATTACATGAAAATGAAAAAAGTCAATGAAAATAACAAAATGTTCCAACACTAAAATGATAGATAATCAACTGGAAAAGGAGAGGAGAATGGGGTGTTTTTTTGGAGCTTTGCAAGCTTTACAGGGAATAGGGTGGCTTAGCCATATAAAGTCAAGCTTCATCACTAAAGAGCTGGTCTTATTGTGATGTTATTGTGGGAGAAATTTGCATGCCTAAAACTTCATTTGTATAAGCAACCTCATTGTCCATCTGAATGGGTTATCTACCTGAATTACATTTGAAAACATATTAATAATCTGATCTTTTTCCCACATTAAATGTGACTTTCTAGGAGTTTATAAAAGTTGGCCTTTACTGGATATCTACTAAAGAAATCAACTAGAAGGAAAAAGCAATATACGGACAGTTAATACTGAAACAAATTTATATGCCGTAGTTTTTTCCAGAACTGTCATTTAAGTACTGTCTTGATTATCTCCTGCTTCTGATTTTAAACATTGCTTGTTGATTATTATTGCTGAGAACTACTTTTTCTCCTCTTTCTGTAGAAGTGGATCATATTTTTTTTAAAAAAAGATAGAATAACTGAAAAGAATCTTCCATAGTCCTTTGTTACACAACATACAACATATAAGAATAGGCACTCACTGGGTCTCCTCGGGTACCAGTCCTCGGCAAGCAACACACATCAAAATGCCTCCCACAAAGGCCAGGCCTCCAGCAACCCATCCCACAAAGAGAGCAGCACCAAATGTGTATCTGCAAAATTAAAAGGCAGGACTTAATTTTCTAAATAAACTGGGCCAAACTAAAATAGTTCTGGATTAATTCCACTGAAATCAGATGGGCTTAAATCTGGGATGTCTAATTTACCCTACTAGCTGCAATATGACTAAAGCAGCCCCTCCCCCATACATCGTATGCAGCTCCTGATTAACTTGAATGTGACTCCCAGAATCTCTTCCCCAAATGCTACCAAATTATAATTTCTAACATGAGAGGGTAGAAAAAAATATTACATATATTAATCATGTTAATGGGGTTTAAATAGATAATTTTAATATGTGTTTGTTAGGGCTTCCAAACTCAAGCATTGACTCTGGGCAACATATAAGAGAAACAAAGAATACACAGGAAAAAAAAGTAACCATGCAATGTTAATAAAACTTCAATATATAAAATATAAAATGATGACCAAAAGGCACTGCCTTGTCAAGTCTGGGTCCAAATGCCTGGGGGAAAAGCCAAGGCTTAATAGATGAATTACAATTTTGCTTTGGAAATTTCATTTATCTGATTGTAGTCCTGATTGCGGTTCTTCTTCCTGTTCCTCGAGGTTATTCTCACAGCCCATTACACGGAGAGTGAAAAGATTATTAAAATGAGCTTACTATTTCAGTGCTGATATTAGGAAAACAGCAACAACATTTTCCTTCTAAGCACTGTGGGCTGAAATTACCTTACTGAGAGTGACTGCATCATTCCTGGTTGGTACATATTAGCTGTTGACATCCAGTAGTCTGTGACAAGCATGTTGGCGAAAACAGATACTCCACAGATAGCACAGATACCTATCAAAAAGAACAGAGATCCTTAGTATTAGGTCCAACGACTCTGTAGCTTATCAAAACTTTAAAAACCTTTTTTATTTACTATGTAATTACAAACAGGGCATGATCATGCAACTGATTTTTTTTTAACCTCCACTTACTTTACTAGATTAAAGCTCTATTTCTCAGGAAATATGCTGACACAATTTATTTTGGGCAAGTTTACTTCATTGCAATGTTTGTGAAGTTTAAGAATAGCATAGCTATTCTTTCTTTGAAGGGAAGAACTGGCTCCTTCTAAGCTGCCAGCACGAGTAAAGCTCTAGCTTGGTAAAAGGAAGCTGCCCGGGAAAATCAGGGGCATTGAAGGTCGACCTGGAAACACTTTCATGCCCTGAAAGCAGACCCTCATCTCTGCCTTGGTTCATGGGGCCACCCTCACCACCATTGCCTGTCCTCACCCCCATGTTGGCCACCAGGGACTAAGACTGACTCCTGGAGCAAATCTCTTTGAGTGACCAGGCATGCTCTCAAAGCAGCAGCACCACCGCCTTGGTCACTCTGGCTCTGGAGGAAGCCTCTGGGTCATCAGAGGCAGAGGAGAACGAAGACATGTTGGCTCCAAACAAGCAGCCTCTCAAAAGCCGCAGCAATGGCATCAGTCAGCGGATGCTACTCACGTGATCTGTACATTGGAAGCTCCCTAAAGCTCTCCCCCACTCTGTAAAGGGCTTTCGACTGGAGCCAGAGCTATACATGAGTTCCAGCAATTTTTTTTTTTTACAAATTAGTCATGCTATTAGTCACATAGTCTATCCTCAAACCATGATCATCTATAGCTAGGAAGGAACAGTGACCAATTATCTTCATACTCTGTTTATGAGAGTCCCAGGGGGCTTTGCTTATCAATTACTGAATTGGGTAATGATATATAGATAAACTATGGATCCAATCCAGCAAAGAACACCTTTTATCAATTTATAACACAAGTGAATGAAAAGGTGTCCAGTTCACTAGATTTCTAATTATACACTATACACTGAAGTACTACATAGGAGCAAATGCAGCTGTCCTTGAATCACATCAGTACCATTACCCTGAGTTTTGCTAGAAACCAAACATTAAATTATTGTTCCCTTCTATTCTGTGTTGGTCAAATTGGACCTAGAATTTATCATCCAGTACTGGGCACCACATTTTAGGAAGGACAATGACAACTGGAGTGTGTTCAGAGGGTAGCAACTAAGAAGAATTCAAGAAGACATTAGACCTATCTTCAAGTACTGAACAGCTATCATGCACAAGATGGACACAATTGTACAGAGTTGTTCCAAAAGGAAATAAAAACATTGAACAATGGACTTGCATTAAAAAAAATTGAGCTAGACATCAGGACATCTTACTTCCTGAGAAGAAGTAAGTAAAATAGACTGCACTGAGGGATTATAAAGTCATCTTCCAAAGAGTTATTAAAGTAGAGTCTAAATGGTCTTCTATTTGGCATGCATAATAGTGGATTCCTGTACTCAGCACAAGATTGAACTAGACGATTTTCAAAGTCCCTTCTAACTCTTGCATCCTCTGATATTGTACTGCATTTAGAACATCCAGGGGAATTCTGTCAGTCATTTTCTCAATAAATACTTTAAAACAGACTGTGAAATTGATTGAAATCATTATAAGCAAGATACACAGCAATATAGGAAATAGCAGGCAACAATCCTCTCTACCCCCTTCCCTGAAATCTTCACAATGGGCTAGCAGTGAATGGAGGGTGCGATGATGGTAGTTTGGTCAGCATTTGTAGCTGAAGGGGTGGGTGTCAGTACATGTGATGACCTTTTCACAAAAAATCTTTTTCATTGCAATTCTCTGCAGCCTCAAATATGAGAAGGTGTCTGAGATGTGATCGTCTGATATGGTTCTCATAAGACCAATGATGATTCATTACTAAAGCCGTAAATGCCTATTTGAAATGGATATGAAAACTGGCCTGCTAACGTAAGTTTATAGGAACCTTATGCAATTTTTAGTGATTGGGAAACGGGGGGGGGGATATGGTTAACTAACAGTCCTTGAGACTACTTAAAACATTTTAAAATGTTCACCACCTCTTAATTTCAAATACCTCTTTAAAAATAGATGGCATCTTTGAGCCCAATGGAAACTCTAACTCACCAGACACAATGCACATGACTCCAGCAGCCAAAGTCATGCTTGCCTTTGCAGAGTCTTCCATGTTGCCCATCCGTAAACATTTCAGGGAAAAAGTAGCCACCAAGAGACCAAAAGCACCCAGCACAATGCCTACGATCATCAGTGCTCTTACAGCCTGGAGCATAGCTATCAAAAAGAAGAAGAAAATAGTAGAGAAAACATGGAGAAAAAAAGTTTCAAGTGAATGAATACATTAAAAAATTGTTCAAAATTCTGAAGATAACAATGAAGTTCTTTTACCATAGACTCAGGACTGGTAGGAATTACTTTAGAGAAAACTGAATAATCAGTTTGCTGTCACAACGATAATGGACATTAGTGTTGAGGAATTTCAAAGGAGAGAGTAGATAAATTCAGGAAAACTATTCACTATTATCATCTTCAAAGGCCTTTTCTCAATGAATGTCAGCTGCTGGTAGGCTGACAAGCAGAATCTCTGCTGCCTTGAACTATCTAACAAAGCATGTATTTATTTAATTATCAAATTTATATGTGTGCCCATCTCATGAAAAGTAACTATGAGTGGTGACCATCAAAAAAAGATACAAAATATGTCAAATTAATTTTTAAACACACACACACACACATGAGATTTTTGTATCTAGAAGTATCTGAATGTTAATTCCCTGGAAGTATCTGTCATAGCCATAATGGTCATAATGGTCAGCAGCTAGATGCTGATCTAGGCTGAAATTTAGGCAAAGCTAGTGTAGAATATTCATAGGAAAGAAGGAAACAGCTAGACTTAGGAAGCAAATGCCAAGTCTCTTTCAACAATGTTCACATTCATAACTTCTTTTCAGGTGTATCCATTTTTCCTGGTAGAACAACAGTTAGATTGTAAGTCTGTACGTGTATCTCTTATCAATTTTATGTTTGCATATAGCACCTGGAACCTGAAATGTCCCTTGGTTTTTATTATTGTTATTTTCCAACTTGTAGCAACCTGGCATAACCACATTTGGAGTCTTATATCATATCAGCTTTACAATGCTTTTCTCCTCCAAAAAATCAAATTATTTGGTGATTAAATAATCATTTATATAATGTTATATTTATATTAATATTTCAATTATCCAGGGCTGGAACCCTGAAGTTCTGTAAAGGCAACAACCAACCCCTTGAATTCTACTGAAGCCAATTAGTAACCAGTACAGTTCTCAAATGAAAATGTTGTACATCTAGCAGCACATAGGAAAGCGTGCAGAGATAAATCCAATACAACTTCCTTCCACATTTTCAGTTTAACTGGTATTTAGCTGTTTTTTTTCCTGACCTTGGAAATCTTGCCATTAGTCCCTAATTTGTAAAATCTCTTTCTCTTTCTGGGACATAAAAATCAGGGGTACATACCTCACAAGCTTCAGCTTTTGTATCATTACTGCTAATATGAAAACTGGAAAACTGGAAATATATCTGCCAGATAAAAAGCATTTTCTGGCCTATTGCTTCCATACACTGGAAAAGAAGCAAAAGTTCTACTGTTTTGCTCTTCTTTTAATCCAATTTTGGACTGTTCTGCCATACCATAGTCATGCATATACTTAATTGAGGGGGAATTATAAGCATTGGATCCTACTTCTGTAAAGACATGTATAACACGGGACTGTAAATTCAGAAATAAAACATATTCAAACAAGAACTAAAAAACAGAAGTTTTCTGGCATACTTTGTTAATCACTAGATGAGTTGCATGTTTATGTGCTATTTTTTCAAAATTATAATGTGTAAATTGTCTGTTATGAACATAATTTAATTCAGTTTGGGTTGACTTCCTTTCTTCTTTCCTGTTGCTTCAGTAACAGTTCAATGTTTAAAATTAATAGAAGGCCAGAGTTAGATTTGCATAGCTTATAAATGTTGAGATGATGACTCTAGTAATTCTGGAAGGCATATTTATCAAGAACTCATATTATTCCCATTCTTCCTGTTATGAAAGATCTTTACTATTGATTTATTTGTTCCTTCACAAAGAAAAAATATATAACTCATTTGCTAAAAATAACTTCTAACTTCTCAGTGCCTAATACAATAGTTTGTTTTCTTTTAATAATTATTGTATTGTATTGTGATATTATTGTAAACAACCAAGTAAAATTGATACTTTTTACATAGAATTACATAAGAAACTTACTGCATTTTATACAGATTATGTTGTTGTTTGATAATTATTATTTAGAAGTATACTTAGAACCAAAATGATGTAGAACTTCATTTCAGCATATATTGTTATTCCCTCTCTGCCATTTCTAAATTCATTTTGTGATACCAAAATAATATTTTGTGGGGTTTGCATCCTTTTCAATAAATAGGGCTGTGATGAATTTCAGAATTATTATTTATAGAAATGTTTACTGCAAAACTAACCTATTAAATCTCAAAATGTATTTGAAAAAGGGAACCATTATAACATTTGTTAGTAAATCACTAACATTAAGATTAATAGAATCTCAGTCTAGCTCACAACTACTTTATTCATCATACTCCTGTCCAATAATTCCAAGTACACAATATCTTTCTGATGAGAAAACAAATACATCCAGCAAAATAAATAATAAATAAATAAGTAAATAAATAAATAAAAACTAGTAATATGAAACAAAGTGTATCATACTAAACTAAAACCAAATCACACTGATTTTATGTTAGCACTTAAATAAGACCACTAGAAGACTTTCTGTAAATTAGATTTGTAATTTAAATTTCAAGTTAAAATTCCTAACATGTATGTAAATACATATATTTATAATGAGAATCATCCACTGAGGGTACTTTGTACAATAAAAATCTAGAACAATAAAAAAGAACAGTCCGCAAAAAAGAGATATGCGCCCATAGGAAGAAAAAAACATGCCAGACAAAAACAAAATTATTCTAATAGATGCATTTCATTGAGCTTTTTCTAAAAGTTTATTGATCTCAGAGTTGTTTTATAATGTCTAGGGTATTTGTACAACTCAAATGTTAGATCAAGTTCTTTTTTCATAACTGATGTGTGTGTATATCTAACTTCCGTCAAGTACATATCCTCATGAGTTAGGCACATTAATACCATGATAAATTCTGATAAAACTTTAGAAGTTTTAAAAAATTAAAATAACATTGTTTTATTCTCTAATATTTTAAGGCCAGCAATCTACTTTTCACAGTGGAAAATATCAGACTATCCTGGGAGGGAGAAAGTTGATGCATTTTATTCAAATAAGTAGATAATAATTCAATAATATATTAAATTAATCTTAACATAACAAATTAAAACAGGCCCAGAAAGAAACCTAACAACTTTAACATTTTTGACTTCTTCTTTGTAATAGTAACTAGGTTTAAACATTAGTATTTTCTATGCGCTAGTTTTGTAATGACAACCATACCCTTATAAGTACACCTATCTACTTATTGTAGTCAATATCATGCTCATTTATACAGTATAAGCAAGCTGTTTAAAATATTGTATTTGCCAGGTTACAAAAAGCGTTTGCTTTCATTTTATGTCTGCGGTAATTTTGGCCATACCTGGAAGCCCAAGAATTGTATAATAAGGCCGACACTCAGTAAGACCTGAACTCTGACTCACACAAGTCCTCCAAAGGCCTTGATACAGGAATAACGATGTCACTGGGTTATTGTATAAATCCTGGGTGCTCCATGGATCCATCGCTGTGGCTACAATACAGCCCGCAAACCCAAGGGCTGCGACAAAAAAGCCCATCACTTGACAAAGTGTGGTAGACATATTTCCTTCTGCTACCAAAGCTTAAGGTAATGCCAAAGTCCCCTTCACTGTACTAGCAAATTGTGATTGTGGCAGCCCTTATCAAACAGTTGCCATTAATAAGTTTTGTTTGCTCAACCTGTTTTTACAAGATAAAGCAGTTTCACTCCTGGTGAAAGTGTTGAATGTCTCAGGCTGGTGGCGCTAGACTAGAAACTAGAACTTTTCTTACTATTTCCTCCAATAGTCCATCTAGATCAACTGATAGGCAACTTTCTCTGATAAAGTGTTTTGTAGACTCATTATACATACACCTACTGAATTTTTTTGTTTAGCATCATGAGTCTGACACAATATGAATTAGATTATTATGACAAAAGAGATAAGAACAATATATTTATGCTCATTTTTGTTATAATGATCTTTCTCAATAATGTTATTAAAACCTAATTTTGTTTTGCCTTATTCTACTTTTATAAAGCATTGTAATTTAACATTATGTCCATGTTATTAACTGTTAAATAATGTGCAGTTTGATGTTTTGGGAGACTTATTTGGGTGAAACAGTCTCTAATCCACATTAAAGAAATTGAGTGATTTAGGATCTTGGGAATTATTCTTAAATTAGAGTGGTATAATTACATTGATGTAACATTGAACAATGAAAAAATGAGTTTTAATTTTATTTATGCATTTATAAGAATTATATACTGTAGCTGATCATATTATGAACCACAATCCTCAGCAGCTCATAAAAACATGAAAAACAAACGATTTCAATAAAAATAATTGCAAAAAGATGGAGATACTGGGTGTAGGGTAACTTGATATGTTGGAGTTTACAACTTATTTTAAATAAGGAAAGTCATCTGTATAACAAACCATTTAGGAGTTCCCCTAAGCTTATTCACAAATTTCCCACCCATAGAGCACTACTGTGCTATAATTATTCTCATTGGCATCACATCTGCAACATTTGATAAGCACATTCTGAAATTAAACATTAACGTGTCAATAGCTGCTCTTGTGTAGGCGTGCTGAACAGTTAGGACATTTGATCATGAGAGTATTCCAACTAGGGCTGACATTTCTATCAGGCACAATAAGCACAGTATCTAAGACCCAGGAAAATACTTTAATTTGCTTAAGTCAGAAAGAATGAAAATTAAGTAGCTATTTGAGCTATTTAATTTCATGCCTTGCCTTTCAGCATTGAAAATATAAACATATATAGAATACAGATACATAAAATACTAATAAATAATAATTCCAAGAGCTCAATCATATATTAAATGCTCCCAAGAGAATATAGAAAATCATATGAAGTATAATTTTAATACTATTCTATTTATGGAGAATGCTGCCCATGAAAGCAAAAGTGCCTATGGTCCACAAAAATCTCATGCCTACACAA